CCCCCCCCCCCCCCACTCTCCCTCTCTCTTCTCTTGCTCTTTTCTCTTGCTCTCACCAACCGGTCGCACCGAAAAATGAAACTGATGGCTCCACCACCCAATGCCACGGAAGCAACGAGCCCGCCGAAGCATAAAAAACCGCGCAGAGCCTCGTCCCCCCCCCTCCCGCGCCCAATCGATTCCGTCTTCAGAGAGTTTTCGCCGCCCCCATCCCTTTCACAAAAACTCGTAGACTTTATTGAGAATAGCCGCCTCATCAAGGTGAACCGCGCGACACTCCCGAACCGCCGGCGGCGCCGCCACCGCCCCCCCGTGGCAGGGAGCACGCCATCCACCACCGCTGGAAACCCCTTGGTCCTCCTCGCCGCCCTTAAGGTGAGTCGCGTCCGTTAATGGTGGGAGTGACCACGTGCGAGAGGACGAGCGGGACATGCCCGATCGGGATGACCCACCCGATGCTCGTTGCTGTTCGTGCGTGAAGGTTTTGCCTCGTCGAGTGCCGGGGTCGCTCCGCCGCTGCGAGACGGCGAGCCCGACCACCAACCGGCGGCATTCTCGCCGCCTGGCCCGCCGCCGCCCGGCCTCCTTCGCGGCCTCCATCGCCTCCGCAAGAATGCTCCACCAGATGACCGCCCGGCAAACGCGGGCGTCCAGCACGTGTGGGTTGCGCTTCATTCTCCTGCGGGACAGGACCGGGGGCGGGGGAGCGGGGGGGGGTTGATTAGGCCGTCGAGAGGGCGTAGTCTTCTCGAGAAAATTGGATGCTTGCGTAGGTAGATTCTATTCTAACTGCCTGTGAGGTTTCCTGCCGATGTCGTGGGCAAGCGTGGTTTGGGCGATGAGCATTGGCGGGTGGCAAAGGATGCAGTCCAACCGGCTCGCAGCACAAAATAGCTCAAAGAAGTTCCGGAAAATCGTCACAGTACATAACTCCTTACAGCGACACCTACCTGTGGAGGTCGTCCAACCGGCCCGATCGTAACGTTTTCAGGACGTGACCCACGTGATGTGCTGTGAACCACACCTGACAGCAGCAATTGTGGAGTTTCGGTCCGGGTACAGACAGTTGCGGCCAGCACACACCCGAGGGCAGGAAAAGGGGAGGGGGGGGGGGTCAGGAACGACTGGAAAAACGAAACCAAGCATGCATAAACCTGCAGGATGTATTTAATTCCTAACTATTCAATACTGCTGTACGACTCCAGTAGGTAAAGACCAACACATTCAAGAGACTGCTGTTGTCGAAGAGGAGGTCAGTCTTTTCGTGCAGAGTCTTGATGCCTAGACTAAACAATGAAATGACGATAAATGTGTCTTCCGCGTCCAAACTGACAAAACCTCAGCAGCAGCAGCAGTGAGTGTGACCTTCTGTCGTCATGACTCTCGACTCTCGACTTTTCAAGCTGCAGGTCGGAGTCTCTGCACCGCCGACCACCCTTTCCGGAGACACCCAAAAGAACATCATCATTCAAGCAGTCGAAGTCGTGCTCTGAACCTGCGTAACTTGCTGTGTAACGGCTTCGCGCAGGATCGAGTATATGCGGTGGGGGCTGCTGTGACAGTGTGTGTGCAAGACGTGTTATACATCGGGTGCGAGGTCACTTGTCGCTTGGTGTGAGCCATCAATGACCTGCGTGACGCCCAGCATTGTCGAGCACGTGTAGCCCGGTAGCCGTGTGTGCGGGTCCATCGCTCCCCCTCTCCGTGTCTGAAACACCTCGCTGGGATCGGGCACACGGCCGGCGCTGCCAGCTTGTCTCCTCGCTGTACACACCATGGCTGCAGGATGGGCGACGTCGCACAACGCGGTTAGTCAAAAAAAAAACGGTAGCAGGTGAGCTTACAGGAACGCCAAGGCCGGCTCTACGCGTCGAGGCAGCAGCAGCAGCAGCAAGGGGGTGCGTACATAGCAGTAGTTCAACAAGGACACGACAACGTGGCTGGTGTGTGTCTCGCCGCCGGCCTCGCACTGATGTGCACAGCACACACCATCATCGGAAAATGTTGGGAGTGCCTAGACCGCCGACAGCTGGTACCGACATAACGCGCTCCAACGCCGGCACAAGTCTACGGGAGCTAGGCCCGAGATGTGTCCTACACACGGCTAACACGGAGCAGCCAGCGCACTGGCGTCACAAGGTCGAACCCCTTCACCTGTACCGCAGCAATCAATCGCTGATCTCCCTCACCAAAAAAAAAATACAGCAGCAGTGTTGTTTGACCTTCATCAACACACCATCCTTGCACAAACCAAGAACGGCTTTTCAACACGAAACCAGCGCCGACAACCAAATCATAGCATAGTCTATCGATGTACCTGCGGCGGAAGAAGTCGGCGTCGTGCTCGACGATATCGGTGCTCTAGTGTTGTTATGTAGCCTGGTGGGTGCGGGCTGGTACTCTCACGATCACAGCATCACAGCAGGCAACATTCAAACATATATTCAAATGAACCCCTGCCCTGATTTATGTCCCTAGGTAGACCTCTACGTAGCGCATTTCTCACTGTAGCGCCCCAACAGCACCCACTACCAGGGGGCCTCGACCAACCGCAACGTCGCTGGCGTACTTGGGGCTACTGCTGGTGTCATGCCGAAGGCACATTGTAAACACAACGCGTTTGTTGACGGTGTATGTGTGCGCCGACGAACTTTGATCCGGTAACCTTTGTCTTCTCCGCTGGTGACGCCTGGTGACGCCTGAGGTGTGAGGGTGGATTCCTTCGCCCTACCTTCCATGGAGCGGGAAATCCTTTGAACTCACCTTTAGGTCGGGCGATGTGCTTCCGACGCTGACGGAGAGAGGCAGAGCCAGGCAGGTACCTGCCTGTGTGTATGAGTGAGAGAGCAGACAGAGCTGTGGTGAACTATATAGTCGCAGCCTTTTTTGCACTTGAAAATGCGCGAAGATTTCATAGGGCGAACTGCGGACCCCCCGGTAAAAAAAAAGCGCGGGGCATTGATGTTGTTGTTGTTGTTGTGTTGTTGTTGTCTTCACATTAAAAATCGTTCCGATCTCTCTCTACCCAGTACCTTCGTATATCCGTACTGATCCAACATCCAACACTCGACGCGGTCGATTCCCGTGGTCGCAGGCTAACTTACCCTTAAATGGTACACTCAAATAAACTGGTCCCGAGGGGTCCGCAAGTCAACAGAAATCAACGACAGATATTCTGGAGTCCTCCACCCCCTCTCTCTGTGCGCTATGCGAGGTAACAACTGAGACTAGGAGTCACCATCACGGGGCGGAGAGAAAGAGGTACACCCCCTTGGTTCAATCTTGGTACTTCACAACGCAAGCATGGACAAGGCCATCTGGCACAGAAAAAGAGAGAAAAAGAGGAAAACAGAGAAAAAGAGGAGGAAATAAAAGGCAACAACACACGTGTTGCTGGGGGCTCCGTGGTGCGTTTTTTTTAGGGAAATTAGGCCGACCAGGACATCTGACGACGCCAACAACAGTCCCTATTTCCTATGGGATGCAGCGCAACTTTGCAACAGCTCCTGCTGTAGGGCAGATCCAAAATTCTAGCAATGCCATTCAGTGAGTTGGACTACCAAGCCGTACACCCACGAAGTTGTGAGGGATCCGGTCAACTCTCCGGGTGGTCAACTTGTGTGTGAAGTTGAGCTTGGGGGGTGGTATATTCCGTCATACATCAGGCGTACCGCTCCATTTCGCGAGATATCGACATCCACGGATTGATCCATTTACTGCGCACGCTGCAGCCTGGCACATAGATCTTCGGCACTGCGGGCGAAAGAGTGCTACACCGGGCTTTGAATGTGAGTGGTTCTTTTCCCATGACTGTCAACGCCCGCGAGGATGGGCTTTGCTCGATGAAGTGATGTGCGCGTCAAGGAAACCTGTGTCAACACCCACGCGGGCTGTACAGCGGTACGCTGCTGCGTTGCCGCAGTGATGTAGTAGAGGATACGCTTGAGTCTATGGGTGACGACCGCCGACATAAGTTATGGGTGCTAACGATGATGCTCTATTCAGCACAAATTGCGCAGCACATTCGACTGGTTCGTGGTATCGACAGAGATTTCGGAATTTTTTATTTTTGATTTTGAAAGTCCTTGTCCGCGGTAAACGATGATTCACACCACAGCTCGCGACAGCACCGACCGAATTCAACGTCGCCTCCTCACCTGCTGTGGCCAGTGGTTCTTATTCTTGGCATCGATGCCTCAATGTGTGCAGTTGTAAGTTTGCATTGCGCATGTTTAAGTACCGTGTGTGATACCCAGCAATGGTTTTTATATGCGGAAATGTGTTAGTGCGCACTCCTGCTACCGTGTGTTTGTGGCATGCCGCACCCCGATGTCAACATCGTACAAAAATGGCGGCTGCTGTCGGTGTACTATGTAGCAGGATGGGCCTCTGTCGGAAAAAG